CCTACACTGAATGACTCTGATTCCTGGTGTTACTGTTTAATACTGTTTAACAAACCCCTGAACTCTTCAAATTTCTTGTACTAGGTTTGTACTACCCCCAAACTGCTAACTTTATGTTCATTCTTCCCCTTGAAAGTGTAAGGGGTGCATGAATTGTGAGCATCAAATAATTGCAGATACTAGCGTACTACTTTAACTTCTGGAAAGGCCAGTTAAGTTTGTCCCTCAAGTACTACATACCTCATATATTGTAGCACAGGGGTCTGCAGTGAGGGGCACAACCCTGCGCTGCTGCCCACACTGCTCCCGTACACACGGGGGAAGTATGGCAGGGCAGCGGGGAGCTGGGAGCAGGCAGCTTTCTGTGCCCCGCACTGTGCCCTGCCACGCTGGGTTCCAACACTGCTTTGCAGAAGCGGCAAGGGCAGCACAGCAGGGAGCATTGCCAGTATGTGCTGCCTCCCTGAGGCCCTGGGCTGGGGCCGGGGCAGAGAGGCAGCAGATGTTTGCAGCTGGCCCAAGTTCTGGTTAGCTGCTGGCAGCCACAGAGCTGGGGCTTCGGGGCAGGGGCTTTGGGTGGGAAGCAAGGGTCATGAGCAGGGCTGGGTGCATGGGCTTTGGGTGGGGGGCACAGGACAGCAGGGCTGGGGGGCATGAGGCTTTGGGTCGGGGGGCAAGGAGCACAAGCAGGGCATCCTGCCATGTACCCCCTGCCCTCATTTTGTTTTTTTGGCATGCCGGCACTCTGGCACCTTCCAAGGTAGGCATTGTGGGGGGTTTTGGTACTCCGGCCAAAAAATGTTGCCTACCCCCATTGTAGCATTTGTGATTTACATCGCTGAAGTGATAATTTAGTTCCCATTATTACACTTGTCTTGGCATGCTCATGATTTTCTAAAAATTCTAAAACTTCCTGTGCTATTTCATAAACTATATGGTATGGAACAGGGCTAAATGTTAATGGCAATAAAGAGTAGATTTGCTCTTCCTGACAATTCCTAGTCTAAGGACAGAAATTACATATAAACTGGTATAAGTGATCAGAAACTGATTCAAATCTGAAACATAGCAGAAGTTCAGTGCACATAAACTGGTTTCAAAATAGCCAAAGCCAGTTTAAGATAAACCTGGATGCATGTAGTATAAGACTTAACTGATTTAGTTTATATTGGTTTATTCAACTTCTGTCCCAGGTCCCCTCCAGATTCAAGTTAACTCAGTCTCCCCAGCATCCCAGCACGCTTTGTACCTCTCCCACAACCCTTCCTCCCCACTTCCCCCTCCCCTTCCACAGGGTAGGAAGGCTAGCCTTGGCCCTAACTGTCTGCTCCAGCTGAGCAGAGAGGTGTGATCTAGCACCCCCCAGCTTCTGACCTGAGCCACTGCAGGCATGTGGCTGCATTTCTGGAATCAAAAGTGAATGTCTGTTCATTTGGTTATCAGTTCAAGCTATGCAGCTTAAACTAAGTTGTGAAAATTGAATTGATTCCGCTTTGGGCTTTTTACTTAGCCCTAATGTCCAGTCTGTTAAAACTGTTTACTGTACTTAGCCCTAATGTCCAGTCTATTAAAACATACAGAACAACAGGATATGTCCATTTGCCACTGACACTGTTTTTGTCCCATTCACAAGAGTTTTCATTCTGAACAAAATTTATGCTGAGAGGAGCAATTCTGTCTTCCTTCATTTAAAATGCAAGGTCCAGTCTCAATATCCTCATTGGCATGCTACTGTAAATACCAGTTTATCTCAGTGTAGTTCCATTTTTAATCTATTACATGACAGTACAGAGCTTAAGTTAAACAGTCATAGACTAATTAAGAGATTTTGCTAGTATAAGCATTATTTGGGGGGAGTGGGAGGGCAAAGATAAAAAGCACTTAAAAAGCATTTACTTTTCAGTTCATACCTTTAATTAGCTGCATAACTCCAGGGACTATAATTATCAAAATTGCTACAAGCTTGCAAAAGGTAAGGAAAATCTGAAGGCGGGCACTCCAGCTGACACTCATGCTATTCAGGACCATTACCACGGCTGTAAGAGAAGAAGGAAAAGTTAAATAAAAGTGCTTATCTTGCTAAAGCAGTAAAAGCTATGCACTCTGAGCCCGAGAGGTCCCAGGTCCCCTCCAGATTCAAATTAACTCACAGTCTCCCCAGCATCCCAGATTGAAGCATCCCATCATCCAAACAATGGATTCTGGTGCTTGAAAGGAACAACGACCCCCTAATACCTTTTCTCTCCTGTTACTGTCTGCTTTTCTGATTTCCCCAGCCACATTCTAGGCCTGTCTGAGTCCACTTCTGGGCATGCTGCTTTGACCATTAGTTTCTTCATTACCTTCCTAGCTCCTTTTGCATAAAGAATTGCACAAGAATTGTTAACTGTTAGAAATTGATGAACTGCTATAGCATTGCCTTTGATTAAAATTTTTCATTGAGCAACTCCTGTCACTTGAGACCACTATATGAATGTCAATTTGACTGCTGATTTGCATTTTTGGAAAACAACAATCATTACTAGTAAAATTAAAGTTTCTATTCCTCATTTAGCACTGCATATATTTGTTCTTAGTGATGTAATTTCCACCTACTCTGCTACTCACTGAGTAATCTCTGTTTGAATCATTTTTGAAACAGTAACAAGGGCCAGGTACAGAAATTACACATAAACCAAGCTAAGTGATTGGAAATGGATCTAAACCCATAACCGTAGTTCAGCGCACATAGACTGGTCTAAAAATTGTGGAACCCAGTCTAAGGCAGACCTGGATTGATGTGCACTCAAACTTAATTCATTTAGCTTAGACTGGTAAATTGAACTTCCATACCAGATCACCAATTGATTCAAATAAAATCATTGTCCTCTGGCATCCCAGGCTCCTTCATAGTCCCCCATAACCCGTCCCCCCTGGCAGGGAGGTGCACTAGCACTTGACTGCTCTGGCTGAGCACCCAGGGAGCCCTGCCACTAAGCTCTCCCAGAGTCAGCACAGACACTCTCTGCAGCCCTGCCTCTAACTATCTGTCAGCTGCAGGCAGGCAGTGGGGAGGGGGAAGGAAGGGAGGTGCCTGTGCCCCTGCACCTGGGTACCTGTGTCCTTAGGCAATTGTTGGGACCCAGAGGCCTTCAGGCCTGGGTTTGAACTTTGTGCCTGGTATAAGACCCATTATAGTGTCATAGGGACACAACACTGTATACCCACAACCCATCGCAAAGCACCCCATGATGTACACACAGATCTGACATGCAGTCCAGGAGAACTCCTGTGCTTGGGCACAGCTCTACAGACCACAGCCCTGGCTCCTACACACCCACTCAGGGAATCCCATGCCCCTGTGTGCAAGCACAACCCCATGGACCACAAGCCTGGCTCCCACACAACATATCTCAGTGGCTAGAGCCAGGTACCGTGCCACCTGGACCCCGGTATGTCTTCCCACCCCCCCAAGCAGAAGCCAGTATGGGCTCTCACCTCTGGTGGGTTGGGGTGGCAGTGGGGCAGAACATTGGGATTATGCCTGCACAGAAGCAACCCTGTGACCTCCATGGTTCAGCCACTGCCTTCCTGGGCCATGGGCACCTGAGATGCTGTAAGACTTTTATGACCCACGGGGTCAAAAGAATACAGGGTCCCAGAGTACTAAGAGTATGTGGGGGGATCCAAGCTAGGGCAAGAAGGCAGATGCCCCTGGAAGCTTCAGGAGTAGGTGGGGTGTGGGCTGACATGGCAGGAGGTTGGGGGTGTGCTTGCCTGTGCCTGGTAGCCAATCAGGGGTGGCCCACGATCTCAGCTGTGCTCAGCAGTGCTTAGCAGTCTCTGGCAGCTTGGGGGGCCTACAAGCCCTGCTGGGAGGCATGCAAGAGCACCCCGAACCTGCTGGCCTCAGCCACTGCAGGCAGTCCGTGTGTCCCCAAAGGACAAACATGTGTTTTGTTAGCTACCAATTTAACCTAAGCCACTTACAGAAGCCCACATAAGTTAGATCGATTCCTTGGTCTTTTTAAACATCTGTACCTTGCCAAGGGGGTAATGATACCCAGTAGATTACAGCACTCTTCCTAAATGCAAAGAATCCTTGTATTCACAAGTGAAAAGGAAGGGTCTTTGCTAAAGCAAAGACCATTCTGAATAGTCCTGGACGGTCCCAAATTTGGGGGCTGTGTCCTGGCGTATCTGAAGAGCCCTGAAACAGGATATTTTTGTTCTAAGTTTGAAAAACTGATCCTGGAAATCCTGACCCTAGTCTGCCTACCCACACATCCCAACACTCTCACAATAACTGGTAGCTTCCTGCTGTATGTCCTGAAAGGGGGCAACACAGTGCTTCCTTGGCACCATGTCAATGTGAATGTTTCTCATTCAGGACGAAGCCACATTCATGAAATGCTACACCTGGGCCAATTAGCAATCTTTCTCTCTCTCTCAGCAAGCTTAATTAACCTGCTGGCAGTTAAGGAGAGGACAATAACTAGAACCCAAAGTGGTGTAGTCTACTTTTGGTTCCAGAAGTCTGTGGAGCTGCCAAGATTCAGGCATAGATTTTGATGTAGAAAGTGGCTCTTAAGGGACCACTGACTGACACAACATAAAAACAATGAGTCATCTAGTTTTGTTCCTAATTATTTTAGCTTATATAAATTATGTGTCTGAAAGAAAAGAGGATGTAAAGAGGTTTCAATAACTGCATATTTATAATGTGAAGAAATGCACTGCCAGACAAAAGAAGAAAATGGCTGTTATTCCCTGGCTGGAGGAAGAGTTAAATGTGATAGCATAAGCCTGTCAATTGATCTCTCTCTTTCCATCTTGCGGAACTAATGAATCAGCTTCACATCAGAATCCCTCTGTATTTCAAAACCTCCTTAACAGCAATGGTTTATCTGTATAATCAGCTATCTCACAGGCCACTAGATTCATAAAATCACAACTCCAGAATCTGATGCCTAGAGCTTAGAAAATGCCAGCACAGGTGCTGCAGGTTAGGCTCAGCACAGACTTTCAGGTAGCTAGGACAGCTGTTTCATCAAATGTCTTTACAAGCTGGAATTAAGCTTAAGGATGACGCTTAGGCCTCAAAATAGAGAAAGGTTTAGAGCTGAGCCAAAAATTGATTTTTTGTTCACTGTAAAGTCCAAGATATATTCAGTGCAGTTTGATCCCAAAATTATTTCTTTGGCAAATGGAAAAGTATTACAAGATTTAATACATCGCTTTATTTCAAACTTAGGCCATTTAAAATATTTACAATTTTTTTTAAATAAAATTATAGGAAACTTCTAAACAAAAAGGTTTTTTTGAATTTCATGAGTTTTGCCTTTTTCTAAATGATTTAAACAGCAACATTTAATGTTCTTTTCACAAAACATTTCAATATCCCCATATCTGCATTTTTCACTGAAAAAGGTTTGGGTCAAAACTTTCACCCAGTTCTTTGTTTCATCATACTTCAGAATAAAGACAGGTTCTGCTGAGCCACAATACAATCAAAACCACCTGACTTGTGGCAAAATCTCCTTAAAGGTAAGAATACTTTGTCTTTAATGTATTGCTCTTGTGTATGTATGTACAACTGGAAATACATAGAAAAAGCTATGTGACTGGTTCACCACTGTGTTGCCCTAATTTTAAATTGGTTTAATATAATTTAAGTATCACAAGTTCCTCCGGGCCTATGCTGGCACAACTGTGTTAAATCAAGTTGCAGACCCCTACGTTTATCTGAATTTCTTAGTTTGTGTTACTATATTCAGATCATCAATATTTTGTAATTGCCATTTAATGCAAAATTCAACAAAATATATTTTAAACTGCTGATTTTCCAGGACTATGTAAGAAATCTAGTGGCAGTATCCAAATATTTCAAGTTTTCTTGAATGCCCAACATTTGGTTACCTTACTGAGGAAAGAGTAACACAAGCATCTCCTTAAAGAGAACTCTGCTATAATCACTATTTTATAATGCAGTAATCAGCTTCCTGATAAATGTATGAGATATCACATAACAAAACAGCAAGAAATAGCCCTGTGAGAATGCTAATTTCGGTTCACACAGCATTTTGTGGTCTTTCTTGTGAAGTCCAGTTCATGCACAAATTACAAACTATAAATTCATAAGCAGTTCATGTGTTATGAATGCAAAATTTCACATGGATATTTGTATGTCGACTATGTAACACTGAGTTCAGCCAAAGTAAAAACTGAAATGGTGTGGCCAGCTAAATACATAAACAACATAAATTATTAGGTCATTTTTCTTTTCTTTCTTTCTTTCTTTTTGGTTTTGGAGTTTAATTGCTTTAGGTTTCAACAGTAAAACCAATTATGTAGATTTACAGACTATTTTTAATGTTTACTATTTGCACTGGTGCACACCCCTTACTTTGATATGTTTATAGGAATTCATATTTGCATGTATGTTTTAACACAGGCATAATTTTACAGGAGGGAAGAAAGGAGACAGTGAAAGGCAGCAGAGAAGAAGAGTCATGGAAAAAACACTGAGTAAGAGGGAAAAAGAGATATAGCACCAGTGCAAACTATTAAGCATATCTATGCCACCTCTGCATTGTGCATGGGAAATCCACTATGAAGCACTGCCCCCCACACACTCTCACTCAGTACATACCCACTCCCCAAAATGGGTAAGTGCTAGTGTCACAGCAGGTGTAGCAGACACTTGTAGATGCCATAACATAAAAGTGCTGCTCTTTGGCTTGGGCATCCTTATTAGTGTATATCTAAGGCAGCTACATTGTCTCATTCCTAGAATCTGGCACATATGGAGAGAGAGCAAGTGGTCAGAGCACACTTCATGGCAGTGCTCCTGGATACAGCCCAGAGACAATAAGGATATGTCCTAAGTCCAAGATCAAGCTCATGATAGCACCAAAGTGATCTGTACCTACACATGCATCCTCCCATCATTGCCACCATGATTATAGTTTGTGATTTAAGTGAGCATCAGATGGATGTCACAGCCTTACAGAGACACCTTGAAACACAAACTGCAGAGGGCCTGCTTCAGAATCAA